GTCACTGCCTTTAACATGGTCTCACGCACACACTTTTGCACGCAAATACACTTGGCATTGGTCCATGGCCGTGCCCGAGTTTATTTCTCTGCTCATCAAACTATTCCCATCTCACCAGTTGTGGTGTCTAGTCGTAGCCGCGTAGATGTTGCGCAGGAGCTACTTAACCTCAGCGATGGCACCAGCATCCGCATCGCCCGCACACCGGGCATGGGTGACAAGGCACGCCAAAACGGGCTGAGCAAAACGATGCAACTGGCCTGAGATAGGTGGGTGCCTCTCAGCTCACGTCTCCTTCAAAATCTCAATGAGGGGCGAAGCAGTTTACTATCTAAAGGGGATGACTTAGGGCCCGCTGCCACACACTAAAATCAACGTGGGGATACGCCAAATTTGCAGTTGCAAACTCCGAAGTCTCGTTTCAGCTGGAATCATCAAGATTGGCTATGGCCAGGAGTGGCAGGACACCAAGAAGTACTTGGAAGCCAACCCGGAGGAAGCTCGCAGGACAAAGCTGTGAACGAGTTCGTGATGCAAGTCGCACTGGACATTGTTTGCAAGCTACTGACCCTGTTTCACGCCATGAATTTGGAGCATGCTTCGGAGTTCGCGTCCATTGCATTTAGATTCTGAATAGCTGACGGAGCGGGCCCATTCTGTTTGAAGGTTCTGGCTCGGATGGTAAACTATTGATGACGGCTTCCGCATTCGAGGCCCATGTGGACAGCCCAATTGGACTGCCAGGATGGAGCAGTTCTCCCGAGACGCCAAGGCCGTGCGCGCCTGGATGCAGACGCAGGCCATCACAGCTCCTTGGCATACGGCTGAGTTGGGGTCCTTCCCTGTTGCTTGGGATAAACAAAGATGGATAGCCCGGCAATATTTCTAGAAGTTTCATGTTGCTGAGCTTGCTTAACGCACAATACTACACGTGCTACAACATACTATCCTTGAACGAAAATAACTATATACTTCAATCTGGCACGTGACATTGCCATGCCTTTGATGCCAAACTCGATATATATATATATAAACGCTCAGCTGTCGTGTGCACTGAACGCAAGATGCCCAGCACCAAGGGCTGCAACATTGCAGCCATATCCGTACTCAGGGCTGCAATGTCAGAAAGCCTGGACCGTCAAACAAGTCTGAGCCGCATGTAGAGCTCAGGGCCTTTTAGAGTCAGGCTGACTGCCTTTCGCAGGCTATGCCATGTTTACTTCACCTTCCGAATTCGTTTGTCAGACTAGACATACATATATCTATATATATAGATGTGGGAAGTTGGTAGCACTTCGCTGAGGAGTACTACAACACGCGGCTGAGCAACGGCGACGAGGAGAGTGGAGAACACCCATCCACAAACATGCAAGCAGTCTTGCGGACATTGCATGCGAGGGGCTTGAGTAGGAAAGTGTGCTCCCAACACGTCAGGCAGCTTTTGTGGAACGTAAACAAACTTACTCTTGCCCTCGTTCACCGGCACAGACCGTCACCGGCAAATTTAATGCGCTGGAGAAGAACCCAGAGCTGGCGCATATTTTCGAGGACCTTCGCCGCCGCAGTAAGGATTTTGAATGTTTCGATGTGCACAGATTCCCGGATATTCCATCATGAACTGGGGGCTGAAATTGAGGCCGTAGCTGGATGGTGCTGAATTGGACACCGACAGACAATTCAGCGCGTATATGGGGTCCCACATTTCGGGAAGCCCTCAACTCCTGAACAGTGCTAAGATTCGCAGCCACATTGACGTGTTACAGCCTGTGGCCATGCAGGCATACTGCCAGTTGACCACTGGGCATGCTAAGCCAATAAGTGGCCTAGTGAGAGGACATTAAACGCGGCGGCAACCAAGCTGCCATGCAGCACTACAACAATGAGCCTATGATGCTCAAGATCAGCTCTTTGGTGGCAGATTTGTGTATGGCAACTTGGAAATGCCTCCCTGGGCCCAAGTAACGTGCTTGCCGTACGCTCTTGTCGCTGCGAATGCTGGCCTCGAATGAAGCTGCAGCTGGAGCTAAGGTAGAGCCATGGGTGGCGTGCCTGAAGAGGTGAAGACGGTCCTTCAGGACTTCACTACTTGAGGGGCAAGGGGCAAGAGTGCAGGGCGGGCTTGAAAAGTTCACACCGTCTCGATATTTGCCGCAAGATTGCCTTTCCATTGTGCTAAACCCGGACATCATAGGCCACACAGGGAAGTCATTTCCGATGTCCATTTTTCTCATGCAGGATTTTTGCACACTGGCCAAGTCAAAGTTGCGGAAGCTTTGGACAGGATATCCAGAACAAGCCCATCACTCTGCAGGAGGCCTGCCTGAAAGGCAGGGCGATTTCCTGATGCATTTGATTAGCCTCAATGGCAACGCAGCCCCCAAGTGTGCTCGAGTCTTCATTTCGAAACCTTACATGGCTGTGCGTTGAATGCATTCTCTAGGCAGAACAGACCCGGGTCCGAGACAATGTTCTCATCGGTAATGCATTTGTGGCATTGCCCGAGATCTGTAGCACGTTGCTTTGGGACGCGAGCATCTGAGCCCACTGGGGGCATTCCAGTCCTTATCCGCACCTGGGAGCTGAGCCAGCGCTTCCATGCAATGCAAGGTGACCTCAAGACCTTGGAGGATTATTTGCAGGCAGCCGGAGAGGCAAGAGGGCCCGAGCAAGACTGGCTTGTTCGTCAGGATTTGGTTAGAGTGGAAAAGGAATCCGAAGTATGAACTATGGAGAAAAAGAGAAGAGCAGAAGCTGCAAGCTTGCCAGGCAACGTTGCCATGCCATGGACTCCAAGCATTTCTGGTCAGCCCTCCCATTTCCAGTCACAGACATTGATAGGAGAAGAACATTGACGAGAAAGATGCAAAAGGCATCAGCTGCCTGGGCTATGCCATCGGTGCCAACCGCACGCACGTGGTGAAGAAGCTTCTGGAGAGCAAGGTGTGGATGCCGTTTTTTCCGGGTTTGCCTTTTCGGCAACTGCTTCCCAAAGCAAGCCATGAGATCCTGACCGAAGGATTGTATGGTTGCTCATTGTTTCACCCATAGGCGGAGATTTGCCCTCACGGATCAACACATCATGCAACTACTGACGCTTATGACATTGTGGAAACTCGAGACTCGAGTAATTTAAGTCACGCTAACACCAAACGAAGCGGCTTGGACATGAAGTTGTGAGGTGGTTTAGAGCGAACATTTTATGACCTCACAGATGTCAAAGCTCCTTGAGTTGGTCAAAAACACATTAATTCTGTTAGCACTCGCTGATAGGATTTGTAACAAATGGGTGTGTGCTGGGCAACATTCTGCCCTCACATGAGTACCTTTGCTGAAGCTGAGCCAGCAAGTTTCCACGCCATCCTGGGGCAGTGGTCAGAGGTTGCAAGAGCAGAGTGATAAGTTGAGGCTGCAAGGATGAGACTAACTTGCTTTGGCGGATACACACAAAGGAGGGCCCAACATGCTCACGTCATTGCCGACAGTCTAATGGCAGCAAGGAAACCCAACACATTTTGGCTTGAACTGGCCGGTCAATAGTTGAACTATCGCGATTGTGACTCAAGCACGACAGTAGCTATTTAGCTTTGCTCTTCAAGTGAAAGTAGCATCTGGCCAGGCAAATCCTTGGGAAGTGGACAACAGTGGTGGCAATTCCATCCACTACGCAACTTGGATGTTTCTATTCGTTGCCTGCGGCCTCTATGGGAAGAAGGGCAAGAAGGGCCGTTGATGTGTTGATGATCGATATGTCATGTTGCGGTGGATAATCAGCCTGTGCTTGACCTTAGTAGTTTGTAAATTTGCCAAAGGGGTGGGACTCATGACCCTTTCTTCTCTTGGGCAAGACCAGCTTGCATAGTCACCCTGATACTCTATGTTCGCTGTTACAACGCAACTGCTAAGCTCTCAACTTCTTCTTTCAGGGGTTGCTTGGTGATCACTGGGGCAACTGGCCGGACCTTCACTCAGCAAACAGTTGGCAGTCAGAGGTGTAAAACTTACACTTGTTTTTGGTGTGGCTGGACTCTTGTTCATTGTCCTTATTTTAACGCCTCTGGCTCAGGCCGTCGACATTACAGGCCTGTTTCTTATTTGTGTTCCTTTGGAATTGTCCTTTTGCCCCCCTTCCCCTCTAAGATCTTTTCCCCCCCGTCCTCCCCTGACATCTTCTCCCCCTGTTCCTCCCTAAGATGTTTTCCCACCTTTCCCTGTTGAGATCCTTTCCCCCCTTTCCCTCCCCCCTAAGGCCTTTTCCCCTTCTGAGATCTGTTGAGATCCTTTCCCCCCTTTCTCCCCTAAGGCCTTTTCCCCCCGTGAGATCCTCTCCCTTTTCCTCCCTAAGATTTTTTCCCCCCTTTCCCTGTTGAGATTAAGATCTTTCCCCCCACCCTTCCCCCCGTACAATATCTCTTCCCCCCCTTCACCCCCCAAGATCGTTTCCCCCCCCACCCCAAGATCTTTTCCGCCCTTCTTAAGATCTTTTCCCCCCTTCCGCCCCTTATGACATCTTTTCCCCCCTTCCCCCCCTAAGATCTTTTCCACCCTTTCCCCCCCTAGCATCTGTTCCACTCTTTCTCCTCCCAAGATCCTCTCCCCCTCTCCAAGATCTTTCCCCTCCCCTTTCACCCCCTAAGATCGTTTTCCCACTTTCCCCCCCTAAGATCTTTCCCCCTGAGATCTCCCCCCTCGAAGATCTTCTCCCCCACCCCCGGCCCTCCCCCAAGATCTTTTCCCTGCTTCGTCTCTTCCCCCCTTTCCCCCCCTCCCCACCTAAGATCGTTGCTCCCTTTCCCGCCTAAGATCTTTGTTGCCCCCGGCTCCGCTTTTGCATCCTTAGCATCTCCTTGGCAACATCGCCAGCATCACCTGCATCATTTGCATCAGCGTTTGCCCAAGATGCGGATGATGCAAGTGATGCTGGGATGGTGCCCATGCTGAATTGGAAAAGATCTCAAGGGGGAAAAGATCTCAAGGGGGAAAAGATCTAAGGGGGGGAAGTGGAGAGCGGATCTTTGGGGGGGGAAAAAGGGGGAAACGACGATCAGGGGGGGAGGGAGGGACAGATCTTAGGGGGAGAAGGTGGCAAAAGATCTTGCGGGGAAAAGGGAGATCTTAGGAGGGCAAAGGGGGAAAAAGATCTTATAGGGAGAAAGGGGGAAAGATATGTTAGGAGGAGTGGGAAAGATCTTGGGGGGCAAGGGGGGAAAGGATCTTAGGGGGGGGAACGATTGAGGGGCAGGGGGGGGCTTTCAGCAACACACAGTTTACCAGGGCTCATCCATTTCAATCCATCAGTATTGACACTTGGAACTCTCCGGAATAGATCCAGGGCCAACGCATAAAGATCCTCTGCTACACGCGGTATTGGTTCCCTTCAAGGATAAGATGTACCTGGCAGCCGGCCTCAGTAGCGGAGCAGGTTTTCCGCAAGAGACCCAAACAAGATGTCATCCGATGGAGAAGGCTTCATGGAAGCCTAATCAAGTGTCGGCCGATCCCATTGCCTTAGTGAAGAGACGCTGAACTTATCGCTGACCGCCAAGCAGCCGCCGTCGCACGACGGAAAAGTCAGCTGGTTTAGACATGAAGAGCTCGTAGATGATTGGGTGACCTTCGCAACAATCGAAGCATCGAAGAGAGGGCCACTCCTCAAGAGCAGGCTCATCGGAGACGCTCACATGTACAAGGCAGTTCTCCAGAATGACCTTTTGCAAGATCCTGAAGAAGGAGTCAACTATTTCAAGAGCACGCTGAAGAAGTTCTGAAGGGCTCGACGAACGTGTACTTATACAGACTTCTCAGTTTGTTCAATTACAGAAGGCAGAACATCGAGTTCCTCATATTCGCATCAAAATTTGAAATTCTATTGATGAGATTGAAGGCAGCCTTGATGGACTTGATGCCTACACGGCGCAGTCACCAGAGTTCATAGCATCAGTGCACGATGCTATTGCAAGAAGAACGGCCGCGCATCAGCAAGCCGCCGGTGTCAGAGCCACGCCTCCAGACCTGCTGTCCATAGACAATCCACAAGTGCTCAAACAGTACCTCAACGGCATGCAGACAAGACACAAGGACGCATTTGCCCTCAGCGACAATCGCATTGCGCAATTTTTCATCATCCAGAGTGAGTTGTCAGATCAGCAGAGAGAAGAAAGCTTTAACGAAGTGACAGCTCTGTCTTGCAAGCATGGCGGAGTGTTCGTAGCGTAATGCACGTTAGTTGACCATGTTTGAGCTTGGTCTTTGCATCAACTATTGCACGGCTTGCTTGTCTCTGCCATGATTGTTGAATGTGGTGACATCGCCTGTCTCAAGCGGTGGGCGGGCGGGACCAACACATTTGTTCCCAGCTCTCCCTTCTGTCATTTCGAGCTTTTCGGGGGAACAGTCACCTTTGTGTTGGTCAGAACCTTGGATTTGCACCAAAGTGGCACCCATTTGCCGCCATGGAAGAAGCAAACGATGTTCCACTCCGTGGCTTCCGCCGACGGTGGGTGGCTGCTTCTGACAGTGGCGGCCCTTCGTCTACGTGGAGCAATCAGACTCCAGATGAGCTGGTGGGTCCAGAAGCGTCTGAGCAAGAGCGTTTGGCCACTGAGCCGAGCAGGGCCCTTGCTGGCGATGAGCCAGCGTCGCGACACGCTCTCTTTTCATGCTGATGAGGTAGCAGATTCCACGTGGCCACCGGCGGGGTCTCGAAGCATCCAAGGGATAGTTGTTGCAACTGCAATCGCTCGGGTTGCAGCCCACGAGGTGAAGATGCCTTGGGAGATTGGGCCGTTGGCTCCACTCTTTGGTGGGTCTTGGCCTTCTATTCCCGTGCATACAGTTCCTACAGTTGGTCTAGCGGATGCCTTGCAAGCTTCTCAGACAGAGAAGAGCAGCGTGCCTGTAGTCACTCCTCTGAGCAACTCAGTCCTTCTTAAGAGGAGAATAGCTGCAACAAAATTAACCGTACCTGAGGACGAGCTAAGGACTCGGGCTCTCAAGCAACTGAGAGTTCTCATCCTGCTTGATCTCACAGCGACGAGGTTGGGGCGGTCCCTCATGAACATGGCTGGAGCACTTGACGAGACCGCTGACGTTGGCCAGTCCATCGCTGATTGTTTTGCTGGAAAGTCCACCGGAACTCTTCTTAAGCGGGTTGGTTCGCTCTGGCACTTCAGCAATTGGCTTATGCGGGAAGGTGGCAACAGGGGCTCACCCTTTGCGCAGGAGGAGTCCGAGGTGTACTGTTATGTCTGCCAACTGAGGGAAACCTCCAGTGCTCCCACTAAGGCCAGCCATTTTCTGGAGGCTCTGCGTTTTGCAGCCGCAATCTTGAAATTTGAGAAAGTTGGTCTTGACCGGGTGCTCTCAACTCGCATTTGCGGTGCTGCGCACGCCATGTTTCTGAAGAAGCGTAAGCTGAAGCAAGCGCCTCACTTCACAGTTGAAGCTGTGCAGGCATTGGAGCTTGTGTGTTTGAGTGATGAACGTGATCACTGCCGGTTGATAGCAGGCAGTCTCCTGTTTTGCATACTGGCCTGTGTGCGATGGGGTGACAGCATGAACATTGAGCGATGCTGGACCGACTACCACGAGGACGTAGTCCTGGTGGAGGCCGAGACCTCTCGCCACAAGACGTCGAAGTCAAAGGGGGCCAAAACCAGGCTCTTGCCACACACAGCGCTCGGAACCCTGTTTGCCGACGAGTCGTGGGGGGAACAGTTCATACGAGTTCGTCAATTGTGCTTTGGGAATCGGCCAGCTTTCCTGCCTTCTTGGAACGAGTCTGCATGCACGTGGGCCAGCTCACCACTGACTTCTGGCGAGTGCGCCTGCTGGATTCGGGAGCTCCTGGAACCGTTTCTCGGTTTGGAGAAGGCAGCCGAGTTTTCCAGCCACTCATGCAAAGCGACCGTTATCACCTGGGCAGGGATGACTACATTGTTCACGCGCGAGGAGCGTACTCTGCTTGGGCATCACGTCGAGGCTGCCGCTCGATCAAATGTCACTTATAGCAGAGACGCACAGATCCTGCTACAGTTTAAGGTGGCCAGGATGGTGGCTATGCTCAAAGACGGGACTTTCGACCCGAACGCAAGCCGTGCAACCAGATTGTTGGCCATGTTGAAAGACCAAGAGGCTCTGGATGTCCAACAACCTGTGCCGGCGCAGCAGGATGAGCTGGACCACTCTGGGGAAGAGCACGGTGAGTCAGATGGTCACTCAGAGGACGTGGAGCCTTATCAGGTTGGCAGTTCATGTTTGACTGCAAGTACCAGGGGGACACTGCCTGAAGCACTCGTGTCCAGAGGCGTGTTTTGTTTTCTCACGTCTTTTCCGGCATTGTGCATGTGGGCAATAATTTTCACTCGGACAGGCTCTTGTGTGGACGGCTGATTTCCATGAATCTTAAGCCCGTCCCGCCTGAAGAGATCGATGCCAATTCTTGCACCTTTTGCATCCAATGCAATGCAATAGCAGGCCGCTAGTCCCTTCGAAGAAGGGTGCCGAAGAGGTTTGTCACTCACACGGGAGGTCGATCAGCGCCAGAAGCTGCGGCCGCATTTTCCCGTGAGCCCCGCCGAAAAACATGAACCGGAGGGCGTGACAAATCCTGAGTTTTGTGTGCATGTTGTCGACTTGCGTTGGCTCTCTTTCAATCGAGCCTAGCCA